TGATGTCGATTTTGGTGGTTTCGAAATCGCTGTCAGTGTGGCTTGATTGTCGCAGAAAATGTTAAGTTGGTTGTTGAAGATAGAATGTTGGGTTCCGGAGTGTAAGTTGTTGAGGTTATTTTTGAATATTTCGAGGCCGATGTTGATTGCTGTAACCTCGGCTTCAAATGATGACGAGTTTTTGGCGCTGTTGATTCTGCAGGCGAAGGACGTTGAGTTGTTGAGTAAAGCTGCTGCTGCCGTTCCTTGTTCTGGGATGTTGGAGCCGTCTGTGAATAGTAAGTTTTCTGAGTTGGTCTTCATTTGGGTGATCTGGTTGTTGACTACTTCTTTCGCCTTTTCTTTGTTGACCTTCATGTTGTTGATTTCGAGGCTGAAACTCTCCCATGGTTGAATTTGATGTTGGTGGATAATTTCTATGTTGTTGATGTTGAGTTGAGTTAGTGATTGTTGGTCTAGCATGTTGTGAATTGGTGAAGGGTGCATTGACGGTTGGTTGAGCATTTCTGAGTTGAGGATTTGTTTGATTGGATGTTGATCTGGGGCTGTTAGTTTTTTTGCAAAGTATAAAAGGTTCTTTCTTATTAGCATATCAAAGAAGGGAATTAGCGGACTCTCTCTGTTTAGAAACGCGCAAGGAGTTGAATGAAAGTTTCCTAGGATCATTCTATTTGCTTGGTTTTCAATTTTGTCAATGATATTTTTGACTTGTTTGCGATTCCTTTCGGAAGCCCAGATCATGCTTCCATAAAGGATTCTTGATCGGAGGACACTAACGGTTAGGTTTTTAGACTGTTGTAATCCAATACCAAAGGAGCATCTAGAGATTCGGATCAGTTGAGCAACAGTTTGCTCTCCACATTTCTTTACTTTTTTTAGATGGTCGCTGAATAGCAGTTTGGGATCAAAGACGATGCCAAGATACTTGGTGTTAGGTGAGGGAGGAAGGGAGAATTCTCCGAATCTTAAGGGTAGGGGATTAATGTGGCGATGTGTAAAGATCATATACTTAGCCTTTTTCTTATCGAAGATGGCGTTATGGGTGGTACCCCACTGTAATGATCCTTCACCTTCAGTCTCCAGCCTTTGTGTCGCTGTCCCGATGTCTTTGTCTGCTATAAGATGTGTAACGTCGTCAATAAAACCTAAAGAAATAGAATCTTGACTCAGATCGAGGGGGTTATTGATCAGTAGGGATGAGTTGTAGATAATATAAAGGATTGGGGAAAGGGGATATCCTTGTGGTAAGCCACATTTCAGTTTAAATGGGGTCGAGGTGAAATCATCCATCTTTATTGAGGTTGTTCGGTCTGAAAGTAGGCTGTCGATGATGGCTGGTAGGTAAGAGGGAGCGTTCTTTCTGACCAGTGTATCAATCATTCTCTCTTTAATGACTATTGGGAACGCTGATTTAACGTCAAGGAAGAGAGCTGAGACTACTTTCTTTTCCCTCCATTTATGTCTGATCCAAGAAGTTAAGAACATGTTAGCATCATCGGTACTTCGGTTAGCTCTCCCGCCAAAGTGACCTTCTGCTAGTATATTATTATTCTCTGCCCAAAAGGTAAGTCTGTTAGTTATCAGTTTTTCAAAAATTTTACTGAGGCATGATAATAAAGCCATAGGTCTGTATGATCCCGGAGCGGAGTAAGACTCCTTATCCGCTTTGCGGATGATAGCTGTTGTTGCATGTCGCCATGATTTCGGAAAGTAACCTATCGTCAAACAAGCAGAAAATAATTTGATCAGGGGGTTGATGTTTTCGTTGATACTCCATTTTATCATTTCATTAGCTATTTCATCGTGTCCTCAAGCTTTCTTGTTAGGGAGATCATTGATAATTGTTTTTATCTCAAGAGTCGAAATGTCTGGAAAGGATAACGGGAGATTGAAGGAAGGTGTTGAAGTGTTGTTTAGAGAGATGTTGATTGGAGCGTCTGATGTTCCTTTAAAGAGAAGGTTAGCTTTTTCCTCTTTATTAGATGTCAGTGTGTTATTATCATCAAGAAGGGGGGCGACACTTCCGTGATTAACAGGTTTAGTATATTTGTAAGCTTTAAAAATTTGATGATCTTTGCATTCGGGCCAAGAATTTTCTCCAGTGGTTCTTTTTTAGCTCATATACTTTCTCTCTAAACACTCTTTGCCAGTGTTGATAGCAATTGCAAGAGTTAATTGATTTCGACAGTAGCATCCATCTCGGGCTCGGTTCCTTTTTCTCCGCTAGTGGAACTAAGATCTCTTTATCCACCATGGTTTGGCTTTCGATTGTGTTCTAATC